AATTCCTCAGCCAGGCACGCTGGCTGAGGAATTCTGGGAGTTGAAGTCCACTCCTCTTAAATTATATCAGCGGTCTTCCAACTTGGCCCTTTGATGACTTGTGGACTTCGACTCCCAGAATTCCTCAGCCAGCGTGCCTGGCTGAGGAATTCTGGGAGTTGAAGTCCAGGGGTCTTCCAACTTGGCCCTTTGGTGACTTGTGGACTTCAACTCCCAGAATTCTTCAGCCAGGCACGCTGGCTGAGGAATTCTGGGAGTTGAAGTCCATCCTCTTAAAGTCTATATCGGGGGTCTTCAAACTTGGCCCTTTTATGACTTGTGGACTTGTATGACTTGCGTGCCCGGCTGAGGAATTCTGGGAGTTGAAGTCCACAAGTCATCAAAGGGCCCAGTTGGAAGACCCCTGGTCTACGTTATTTGTGGACATGTCACATTTTCCAAGGGAAATGCAGTGGAAAGTTGTACGCGTCTAATTTACGCTACAAAGCAGTGGAAAGTTGTACGCGTCTAATTCACGCTACTCAGAAGCTGGATTCAAGGTACAAGGTTCCACCTCAAGGGGGGGAGATCTTGACTCTGGGTCACAACCCTGGCAGGTGGGCCCACCCATGGGGAGAAAAGAGCTTCTCTTCCTGAAGAACTTTGTTGTAACTTTGGTGTTTGTGTGAGGAAGCGAGGGCTGTGATCAGGAGACTATGACGCTCCTCTCTTGCTACTTCTCATGAAGATCCTTTGAGGTCAAAATGTCCACCAGCTTCTGAAGGAAATGGATCAAGGAAGATCCAACTCTTATTAATGGTCAGTCAAGGCCTCCAGAAGGTGGTGTGACTTCTCATCCTCTTAGAGTTGACCAAGAGAAGGCTTTGTTCTTAGGAGGTCTACTCAAGGTTCAATGCTAGCTACACAAGGCCTGGAGAGCTACACATAGCCAGGAGACTATGATACTCCTCTCTTGCTACTTCTCATGAAGACCCTTTGAGGTCAAAATGTCCACCAGCTTCTGAAGGGAACGGATCAAGGAAGATCCAACTCTTGTTAATGGTCAGTCAAGGCCTCTTGAAGGTGGTGTGACTTCTCATCCTCTTAAGGTTGACCAAGAGAAGGCTTTGTTCTTAAGAGGTCTACTCAAGTTTCAGTGCTAGCTACACAAGGCCTGGAGAGCAGGACCTTATTTTCCAAGAGGAAAGCTCTCAACGAGACCGACTTGATTCTTCAAAAGTAGAGAACCACTGTGGGGATCCCTGCCCAAAGATCTACCCAACCTCCAGTCTTGGGTGTGAATGACCACCATGGCTTCCACCTCAAAGAGCTTCTCTTGTGCGTTATCGGTCAGCAACGCTGCCTCCTTAAAACCACGGGAACACACTCACCCCAATGGACAAAGCTGCCTGTGGCTGCACCCTGGCCCCAATCCCGTCCAGCCGTGGTGTCCCTCCGACACACCCCACAGCACCCCCGTACACACACATACGGAGACACTAAGCGGCTTGTTTGTTCAGGGTGGTTCAAACCCCCCAACTGCTTGGGGAATAGTCACGGTATCGAGGCCAAAGACCTGCCAGAGAATCTGGGCAGCGCCTAGCAGAGGTTACACCCTTCCAAGGCCAAATTGTCATTTGAACACTCCCTACGGCCACGAAGTGGACAACCGTCCAAGCGTCCGTGGGTCTGCCGCACAGCACTCCAGAAGCGGCCTTCTCTGGCCACAACCAACGGGGAGAAAATGGACCTGTGGTCCAATGGCCACAAAGCACCCAGTGGATCTATTTCACATCCCAGAGATCCAAGACTTTCGGTCTGTTCCCCTGTCCTGAAAGAGAGCGGCTGCCGCCGACGTCGCGACGGAGTTAAGAGGAGGAAGACCGTCAAGACTCAAGACACTTGTCGGCTCGGTGGGAGAAGAGACGCCCTTTCCACTTAAAAGCAGAATATAGCTAATATTGTCCCTGTTTTGGTATCTCCTGCCTCTGTGTGTGTGTGTGTAGTGTGGTTTGTTTTGTAAAGGCTGTACCTTCATCCCGGGGAGATCAACAGAAAGCACGCACGAGAAGTTTGTGAGCTACAGCTGGGGTTGTCCAACCGTGGCGACTTCAAGACTCGTGGACTTCAACTCCCAGAGGTTCCCCAGCCAACAAACTCTGGGAGTTGGAAGTCCACAAGGCTGGAAGTTGCCGAGGTTGGACGGCCCAAGAGCTAAAACATTCCCTTAATGGTGCAAAAAAAAAAAGGGAAAAAAAGGGAAAGGTACGCAAAACAGTTACAAAACTTAAAAGAACGAAGACACCCAAACGGTCAATTCTCATTGTACGAACAGGCAAAATGGAAGAGGTGTTTTTAAACAAACCTAGAACACCTTACAAATAATAATAATAATAATAATAATAATATAATTGTCCTCCTCCTAGGTTTTTGAAGCCAGGAATCAGAGACATAAAGGCTGGTGGAAGGCCAAAATCAAAGGCATGCGTGCTCCTCTTCTAAGTTTCCCAGTTTTAGCCAAAAAAAGAGAGAGGGAGAACAAAAAAAGAGAGAGGGAGAACAAAAAAAGAGAGAGGGAGAACAAAAAAAGAGAGAGGGAGAACCCCTTTTCCCAACAGAATCCGACTGATTTCCAAGCATTTTGAGAAGCAAAAGTGCGGCAAGGGTGTGGCACGTTACGCTGGTTTGTGGGGTGCTTCCGTAAGAGCGTCAACCGCGCACTCTTCCTCGCCCACAAAAAGGGGGGTCACACCGTCTATCCTAGGGTGCTTCAGTGATTCGAGATTTCTCATCTAAATTCTCCATTATATGAACTGGGAAAGTTGGATCGTCTTCTGTCCCTTGGGAGACATTTCTAAAGACGGCACGCCGACCCCAAAAAGAGACAATTTTGTTCTTTCGCCTTCGTTTGTTCCAAAGAGAGAGGGTTTGTTCTTTGCCAAAACCAGAACAAAGTGCAGTTTAAAAAAAATAATAATATCTCAAAGTGTCGGGTTCTCCTTCCTCTTATTTTTGTGGCAGGATCTCAAAAACAAGCGTATTTTACCCACCGTTTCCCTGGAAGGTTCCCACCCTATAAATTAGCTTTTCTTCACTAGAATAGGAGCGCTTGCAAATATATACAAAAAACAGAAAGAAAAAACAATCGTGTATTTTTTAAAAAACAAAACAAAACAAAAACAAAATAATAATAATAATAATAGTAATAATAATAATAGCATTCCGTTATCCGTCACTCAAAAGTATAGAAAACCTGGAAGGTACGTCAAGCTTTAAATAAAAGTGAAATAAATAAATAAATATTGCATGTAAAATGAAGACAAAACATATCGAGAATTATCTATTGCACAGCTTCAAACGCCGCTTTGGAAAGACCTGTAAAGGCTGTGTGGAGTGGATGGCCTAGTCCAGGGGTAGGCAGCCTTGGCTCTTTTATGACTCGTGGACTTCAACTCCCAGAATTCCTCAGCCAGCATGGGGGAACTATGGCCCCTTCATGACTGCTGGACTTCAACTCCCAGAATTCCTCAGCTGGCTGAGGAATTCTGGGAGTTGAAGTCCACAAGTCTTAAAGTGGCCAAGTTTGAAGATCCCAGGGGTAAGCAACCTTGGCTCTTTTATGACTCGTGGACTTCAACTCCCAGAATTCCTGAGCCAGCCATGCTGAGGGGAAAGGGAGAGGTTTCCAAGCTGAGCCATGCTGGCTCAGGAATTCTGGGAGTTGAAGTCCACGAGTCATGAAGGGGCCACAGTTTCCCCCATGCTGGCTCAGGAATTCTGGGAGTTGAAGTCCACAAGTCATGAAGGGGCCACAGTTTCCCCCATGCTGGCTGAGGAATTCTGGGAGTTGAAGTCCAGAGGACTGTAGTTGCCCACCCCTGGTTTTGGTATAGATCAGGGGCAGGCAACCTTGGCTCTTTTATGACTCCTGGACTTCAACTCCCAGAATTCCTGAGCCAGCCAAGCTGAGGGGAAAGGGAGAGATTTCCAAGCTGAGCCATGATGGCTCAGGAATTCTGGGAGTTGAAGTCCACAAGTCATGAAGGGGCCAAAGTTTCCCTCATGCTGGCTCAGGAATTCTGGGAGTTGAAGTCCACGAGTCATAAAAGAGCCAAGGTTGCCTACCCCTGCCCTGGGGCTGCTGAATCCTACAGTATGAGCTAGGGGAAAAAAAAAAAAACCCTGGCCAAAAAATTAAGACTTGATAACACAGTAAAGATAATACCGATACTCCAGCTAACGATGTAGAAGCAGAACGCTTTTTTTAGACTGAACACAATTATTCTTCCATAATCTAACCAGCTTCCGGAAGGATCTTTGTAGAGCCAAGAATATTTAGACAGCCGGTCTTCGCTGGTGCCAGAGACCCCCCCCCACCCCTCTCACACCGGTTCCGTCTCTCTTGCGGGCATCTCTGGCCAGAGGCAAAGCAGGATACTACTTGGTTACACTAAGCTGACGACATGTGACCGCTCCGGGATGCTGGCGAAGGGACGCGGCAGACACCCCGCGCAGCGAACACTCACAGACACCTATGAATATGAATGTCGGGAGAGGCAGGCGGTTTCGCTCTCGGTTCCCGGATTCCGCAGGACACCGCGGGAGGAAGGACGCCGACGACAGCCAAGGCCGGGAGGGGTGGGTGGGTGGGTGGGTGGGGAAGGGGCGGCTACACACAGCGCCAGGTGAGTTGGTTCTTGCTGGGCTCCAGGAACTGCTCCACCAGGGCCCCGATGAGCTTCGACAGGTCCTCTTCCAACAAGGTGACGTCGCTACAGAACAGGGGAGACAAAAGTAGGAAAGCCGTCCCCATCGGAAGCAGGAGGACCGTCCTGAAACCTCAAAGTACGGGGGGGGGGGGCAGACCACATGCTGCTCCTCAGGGGCAAAGTCTCGGCTGTCAAGTTGGGGGGGAAGGGGGGGAGAGGACAGGGCTGTCAGCTGGGCAATGGGAAAGAGTAGGAAAGAGTAGGAGACAGGGTTGAACTGCGGGGTGCTTGGCGACCCCTGAGCTTGGCTGTTTTCCTTGCAGAAATGTTATTACCCAACTACGGTAGGTAGCCTCATCAGCGCTGGAAGGGAGTGGGGTTTGTGGAGAGGAGGAGGAGGAGGAGGAGGAGGAGGAGGAAAAGGACTGTGGGTTCTTTGGTGCCCTCTGAACTGGTTGGATTCCTCGCAGACGTTTCATGACCCAACTAGGGAACATTATCAGTTCTAGAAGGGGGAGGGGTGTGCAAGTGGAGTTGAAGGAGAACGGGAGGAGGAAAAGGAGGACTGTGGGGTCCTTGGTGGCCTCTGACCTTGATAGTTTTCTTGCAGACGTTTCGTGACCCAACTAGAGAACATCATCAGGGCTAGAACGGGTTTGCAGAGAGGAGGAGAAGGAGAAGGAGAAGGAGAAGGAGAAGGAGAAGGAGAAGAAGCAGATCCTCTTCTTCTTCTTCTTCTTCTTCTTCTTCTTCTTCTTCTTCTTCTTCTTCTTCTTCTTCTTCTTCTTCTTCTTCTTCTTCTTCTTCTTCTTCTTCTTCTTCTTCTTCTTCTTCAAGAAACCGGCTCTAGTGGCCAATGGTCTCCCCCCCCCCCTTCCATTACCTTGTTACTGGGACGCTAGAGAGGGGAGAGCCAACGTATGCTGCCCTGTGCATCTAAGGAGGAAGGTCCTTCCAAAGTCAGAAATAAAAACCATCACCCTACAAGGAAGGCTAGACTACAAAACCGCGGAGGTCAGGACTACTTTTACTGTAAAGCTATAGTAACAGCCTCTTGCACCTCCGAGTGGGCTTCCCCACTCTCCCTCACCTTAATTTCCTACCAACTGGGCAGAGGTTGTCTTGTCCACCTTACTTTCCAAGCCAAGGCTCCAGCTCCATTTATCTGACCGCTGCTTTGGGGGCGGAACTTCCTCCTGTCCTTCAAGGCCATTCCCTCTGCCCTCTACATCTAACTAACACACACACACACACACACACACACACAACTTGGCTAAAGCCTTCCAGGAATCAGGCTCGGCGGACAGCAAAGAGTTTTTCCCCACCTCTGGCCCGGCGGCGCACACATCTCGGCGTAGTACTTAATCTTGGGTTCGGTCCCGCTGGTCCGGAGGGTGGCCACGCAGCCATTTTGGAAGGTGAAGGTGATCATCTGGCTGTTTTTGCTGACGGGCAACACCTGGCGAGGAAGGAAAAGCACCAGGAATCACAACTCCTCTTCCCCCAAAAAATAACAATTCCCATCTTGGCCTGCACGGAGGCCTGAAATCTGAACGGAATGGGGGACGGGGGCTGTGGGGGAGACGTGTTTATTTATTTATTTATTTATTTATTTATTATCCCACCTGTGTTACCTTTTACAAGGTGGGGAACATATCCGACACACACCCCTCCCTCTTATTTCCCCCACAACAACCGGTCAATGAGGTTGTCCTGGTTCCGACAGAGGAAACTCTTCGAAAGAACTTCGAGGCACTGTTTACCTGAAAGAATCTTTATTGGAGTAACATGGCATCGGCACTCACACAATCGAAGCCAAAAGCTGGATTCCCCTCCCCTGAGCACATAGTATCAAAGCATAATTCCCTCCTCTAATTAACTGTCATAAATCACATTCCCCAATTAGCTTGAAGTGCAGGCTTCCCCTCCAGTTCTCCAGCCCGCCAATTCTTATCATCTCTTATTTCAATAACCTTGGTTCTCACACTAGGTTCAGCATTGTTATGTCTAGCTAAACTCTCGTGCACATTCCTCCCCCCGGCATCATCTAACTCTAAGTTTAACTCTAAGAGTAAAACATAAGAAGAAAATGGTTGCATTTTTGTTTTTGTTAAAGCAAAAACATCCAATGTTAGCAGCGTTGACAGAGCCAGGGTTGGACCCAGCTGGCTTTCGTGTCTAAGGTGGAACTAGAACTCCCAGTCTCCCAGGGATTGGCCCAAGGTTACCCAGCTGGCATTCTGCCTACTCCAGGACTAGAATTCACCATCTCCTGGTGATTGGCCCAAAGTCACCCAGCTGGCTTTTGTGCCTAAGGAGGACTAGAACTCACCGTCTCCAGGTGATTGGCCCAAAGTCACCCAGCTGGCATTCTGCCTACTCCAGGACTAGAATTCGCCGTCTCCTAGTGATTGGCCTAAAGTCACCCAGCTGGCTTTTGTGCCTAAGACAGGACACAACTTACCGATTTTTTCTTTAACTGGCTGCTGTCGTAGCCGGTGGTGACATCCCGGACGTGGAGAATACTATAAGTCCCACAAGAGGTTGGGTATGAATCAGGCATATCAAAGTTTCGGAGCCTTTCGAATATCCTTTTGATTGTAGGGGGATCGTAACAGAGGAAGTAGGAGGTTTTTGAAATGTGGTAGCCGTACCTAGGAGAGGACAGGACAGAAATGGCTTTAAAAAAAAGTCCTGACAGTGAGAACAATTAATCAAGGGAAAGAATAGAATAGAATAGAATAGAATAGAATAGGATAGGATAGGATCGGATAGGATAGAATTACAGGATAGGATAGGATAGGATAGGATAGGATAGGGTAGGGTAGGGTGGGGTAGGGTAGAGTAGAGTAGAGTAGAATAAGAATAGAATAGAATAGGATAGGATAGGATAGGATAGGATAGGATAGGATTACAGGATAGGATTACAGGATAGGATTACAGAATAGGATACGGTAGGATAGGAAAGGATAGGATAGGATAGGATAGAATT